GTCTTGCTATGTCACCCAGGCTGTAGTATCTTGGTGTGATCAGAGCTCACTGCAGCCTTGACCTCCTGGGCTCAAGTGATCCTCCCTCCTCAGCCTCCAAAGTGTCTAGAACTACAGGCACGTGCCACCACAGCCAGCTAATTTTTATTTTATTTTATTTTGTAGAGATGGGGGGGTGGGTATCACTATGATGACTAGGCTGGTCTCAAACTCCTGAGCTCAAGTAATCCTCCCACTTCGGCCTGCTAAAGGGCTGGGATTGCAGGTGTGGAGCTACCACACCTGGCCTCATCAATCTTTTATTCCTTAGCCTCCCTGCACCTGGAACGCAGTTAGGGACTATGTTTTAATTTTTTTCTCTCCTCTGTACATGCCATAGTACCTGGAACTTAGAAAATGCTCCACAAACGCTTTTTGAGTAAAGAGCTAGATCTCTAGACAAGGGAATGAATGAATGCTAACTACTTCTTGAAATTTCTTTCCTAGGTTTGGTAACACTACACTACATTGGCTCCTCTCAAACCATACCTCTAACTCCTCTCGTCTCTTCTTCCTTCTTCCAAATCCTAATTTAGGGTTGTAAGACGAAGCATTTATTCAATTAAACATTAACTGCCTCACTACATCCTTCAGGGTTCACAGATTCTAACTCTAACTTTAGCCTCATATCCCTGGCTGTAAAGCCAGCCACTGATACCCTCTGTCTTCCCAGCACCTCAGCATGGCTCCTGTGGGCATCTAACTCCAGATACCTACAATGAAACACTATGTTTCCAGCCCCACTGAAAAGATGTTTCTTCCCAAATTTCTTTTTCATCCTGGTTCTCCCACCTACATTTTTTAAAGTTTGGAATCATTTAAACAAATCCTTTTCCCTCACTCTTCATCAAAAATATCCCATCTTTTCCTCTTATTTAGGAAAGGACTAGAGCAGTTTTTACCTCTGTTCTGAACTTCTCAGGAACAGAATAAAATCCAAATGGTAGATATATAAATACATACATGTCTATAAACTTTTTTTTACACCAGAAACTAGTCTCTGTAATAATCTCAGAAACTTGTTTTCCCAATGATTTGTTAGAAATTTATCAGCATGTTGGAAAGATTAACCTCCAGGCAATTCTAAAGCATTCAGATAAGCCTAAACATTCTTTTCCATATTTACTGATTACAAAAGAAAATAATGGATTTCAAGTAACATAGGGCTTAAACATTCAAATTTCATGAATGTATCACACAATGAGACCATGATTCAAATGAGACAATTTGTAACTAGAAAAGCAAGCCGATGTGGGTGGATTGCTTGAGTTCAGGAGTTTGAGACCGGCCTGGGCAACACAGCAAAACCCCATCTCTACAAAAAATTAAAATTAAAATTAAAAAATAGGCTGGGCGCGGTGGCTCAAGCCTGTAATCCCAGCACTTTGGGAGGCCGAGACGGGCGGATCACGAGGTCAGGAGATCGAGACCATCCTGGCGAACACGGTGAAACCCCGTCTCTACTAAAAAATACAAAAAACTAGCCGGGCGTGGTGGCGGCGCCTGTAGTCCCAGCTACTCGGGAGGCTGAGGCAGGAGAATGGCGTAAACCCGGGAGGCGGAGCTTGCAGTGAGCTGAGATCCAGCCACTGCACTCCAGCCTGGGCGACAGAGCTAGACTCCGTCTCAAAAAAAAAAAAAAAAATAGCCAGGTGTGGTCGTAGGTGCCTGTGGTCCCACCTACTTGGGAGGCTGAGATGGGAGGATGGCTTGAGCCCAGGAAGCAGAGGCTGCGGTAGGCCAAGATCATGCCACTGCACTCCAGCCTGGTCAACAGAGCCAGACCCCGTCTGAAAAAAAAAAAAAAAAAAAAAGGAAGAAAAAAAAAAAAGCCTTTGGAATCATATTATCTAAGGTTCAAATTCTACTTCAGCCAATTGTGCTTTTAAGCAATTACTTAACCGCCCTGAGCTGTGTTTCCTCTACTATAAAATTGGGATTTTTGACCTAGTTGTTACAAAGATAAAAGATATTATATGAAAAAATCACAGAGTCGGGCTTGGTGGCTCATGCCTGTAATTCCCAGCACTTTGGGAGGCCAAAGCAGGCGGATCACGAGGTCAAAAGATCGAGGTGGCCAACATGGTGAAACCCCCTCTCTACTAAAATACAAAAATTAGCCAGGGATGGTGGCGCACACCTGTAGTCCCAGCTACTTGGGAGGCTGAGGCAAGGGAATCACTCGAACCCAGGAGGTGGAAGTTGCAGCGAGCCGAGATCGTGCCACTGCACTCCAGCCTGGCAACAGAGCAAGACTCCATCTCAGAAAAAAAGAAAAGCAAAGGAAAATCACACAAGGCATATAAGAGTTCAATAAAAACTATAGCAATTACCATAAAACCAACAGCCTAGAGCCACTGAAAACATTCACGCAGAAGAAAAAACTAGGCATTAAAATAGAATGTGTTTAAAAAGCTGATACACAAAACAAATAAGACTAAAAGGTGAACTCCATATATACCCTAAAAATAAATAAACTCTGTTGACTGGCTAAAAGAATGGTCAGAATTCTCTAGACTAGAACCTAGAGTTAGCTGGCTGCTTTCCAACCAACCAAAAGGTTTGCAGAGGTGGAGGGAGGGATGGGAGGGGTTAAAATCTTCAAAAGATTCAGCTTCAAACAGACTCAGTAGAGCATATTTCAAGTTCATAGAAGAGAAGCACGGAGAGAAGCTAAGCAGCAGCTCAAGTTCCCCTAGAGTGATAGTGAACTTCAGAGATGCTTCCCACCCCAAGGAGGAATTCTTTACTGGCACAAACATAATGCTACTCTATTGTTACACATTCAGCACCTATTGTGTCAAACATTGTACTAAGAACACAGAAATAGACAAGATGCAGTCTCTGCCAACACATTAAAAGGAAAAAACCAGGTAAGAAACATCAAAGCTTATGTATTATACAGTGAGTGTATAACAAGTGTACAACAGTAAGTATAGTAACAGCCTTCCTCTCAGCCTCTCCAATCTAAAATGTCAGTGTCATCCCTCCCACCTCCAACATCAATGTCTTCCCACTGCTCTAAGACAAACAGCAAACCTCATAATATGATCTGTAAGAGCCAGCATGGTCTGACTCCTGCCAACTTCTCCAGCACCATCTACTCTCTGCATCAGAGTCTCTGTAGGCTTTTTTCAGTTCTTCTAACCTGTCATTCCCTCTGGCCGCAGGACCTTTGCACACACTGTTCTCTCACATTCATCTCCTCCATTTGTTAGAGAAGGTCACTTCATCCTTCAAAACTTGTCTCAATTTTCAATTCCAAAGGAAAACACTCCCTTACTGTAGGTAGTATAGTATGATTAAGAGCACAGGTTCCAGACTTCTAAATCCTGTTTGCCACTTATTGGCACTATAGCTTCGAGCGAGTCACATTAACACTTAGTGCCTCACTTTCATCTTCTGTAAATGGGGGACATATGACTGTTGTGAGATTGAATAAATTAGTTTAAGCAAAGCAACAGAACAGTATCCAGGACACAGAACTCAAAATCTTGGCTTGGTCAAATCCCTCTATTTTATTTTCTTACAGCACCAGGGCATCTCCCCTAATACCATTTTACACTTATTACACTCTCCCTACTAGAGTAAAATTTCTAAGAAAGCAGAAACCATATTCATTCCCCAGAAGTGGAAGACAGGAGATATTCAGTAAACATTTGTTGAAAAAAATAGCTACAAGGACAAAGCTGACGCCCAAGAGACCTGTCCAGTACACAAAGCCTCATGTACCTGACTCCAAAGCCCACTTTCTACCATACTAAGTAAGCTGCCTCCTATGTAAATACATAAGTCTTACAGCCGCAGTTGAAGTGGCCAACAAAGATGAACAGAATGATAAAGATTAAAGAACACTAAACTGTATGGGAACACAGAGATCAGTGAAAGTCCGCACGCTGAATACAAAACAAACATAGGCGCCACTCACTTCCATGTCGATAAGCTCCGGCTCTCATACTGCCCACCCAGGGCTCGGTTCCCTCCTCTTTAAAGAGTAGGATGGGGCACGTTCGTCTCTAAAGTGTCTTCAAAGTCTAAACCTCAATGACTATAAATCAAGTTATGTGGCAATGCTTTAATAATTATTTTTTAAAAGGAGGTTTAACAAGCACACTGAACCAGCTGACAGATGGTTTTCAGGGGACCTTCGTTGTAAAGAATGTGTTCAAGTGCCTCAACAAACCTTATAAAGTAGGTTAAGTGGTCTGTGCCCCAGAATTAACGACAGACTCGATGTTGACGGGAGAAAGAGTTCAGAAGCACACACAAGCACTCCAACCTGTGAGTCAATCTGCCATCATGACAGCCTAGGTATACAGAACAGTCATGAAATGTGTTTAGAACAGTGCCAAAATAAGGCTCACCACTACATCGAAAAGGAAAGTTCACGAGATGCATTTGGTACACAGTAGACTGGGGTGTCATACAATTAAAACAGGCTTTCAAATGCAACGTAAAATCTATTAGCAGTCCTGATATGGCGTAGTACTTCAAAAGATAAGATCAACTCACAACCTTAACTCTACCTGAACAACAGTTCACAGTGTCCCTTCAAAAATGCTGGAAAGAGGTCAGAGAACACGGAAACTATAACGACACCTAAAAACACACCCTGGAAAGCTTAAGACAAAGCCACTGCCGCGGGGCCCTGGAAGCGGACCTCGGGCAAGGCAGGAATATGCCTGCCCAAAGCCATCAGCCGCCTCGGAGGGCGTGCGGGCGCCCAACTGCCTCCGCCCTAGGCCTCTCTGCTCCGCAGGATCCCCGAGAGGAACAGCTGCAACGAGGCATGCCTCCTGAGCCCGCTGCCACGCGAACTGCGGGTGGGAGGAGAGAGAGGGGTGTAGCTGAGACGGAACCGGGGCGCGGGGCAGCCGGACCCAGCCAGCGCTCTCCCGGCGCCACCCACCCAGAGGCGGCACGGCTGTGCCCGGATCCGCTAGGGCCCCGTCGCTCCTCACCTTCAGGGTCCGCAGTGCCGCGCTCAACATCAGCTGCTGCGGCGGCCACCGCCCACGCCGTCCGGCAGCGACCAGCGCTGCTGTCCCGACCCAGAGCCCCGCCATTGTTGTCCCCGCAGACCGCCCCTCCGTTGACCTCTCACCCAGCCGGAGAGGGGCGGAGAAGGGGAGCGCCTGGGCTTTGACAAATCACGAGCCAGAAATCCGATGCCCCACCCCCTAACTTGCGGGAAGGGGAGCGTGAGTGGTCGGCCAGATCCACCGGATCCGGCAGCCTGGAGACGCGCTAGGACCCGGAAGGCTAGTGGGCTGGCGGCGCGTCAGATCCCTAGCTGAGCTGGGGGCCACTGGCCAGAGCCGACCCCAGGAGTGAGAGAGGCAGGGACACGCGTGAGTTCCGGCGACCTGCAGCGGGCAAACCCCGTACCTTCCCAGCATCCGCTCAGCAACCCACGTGCATCCAGGCTGGTTAATGTCAGTGAGCCACCTCCGCGCCTTGGCCATCCTGGGGTCCCGAGAATCAGAAGTCCCAGACAAATGCCCAAACTACATTCCTGCCTGTTTGAAAGCGTAAATTGCAAAGCACAAATCCAGGTAAGGTTTTGAACGACTGTGATAACACATGAAAAGTTCTAGGTCTGGAAATCAGAGATCCGAGCTCAAGTCCTACCTCTGCCACTTAATATCTGCGCGTGAAAGAAATTAGCCACAACTAGAGTCAGTCTGTGTTGCTTGCAAGCAGAAACCCTTGTTAATACAACTACTGGCCAGGCGCGGTGACTCACGCCTGTAATCCCAGCACCTTGGGAGGCCGAGGCGGGAGGATAACCTGAGGTCAGGAGTTGGAGACCAGCCCGGCCAACATGCTGAAACCCCGTCTCTACTAAAAATACAAAAATTAGCTGGGCGTGGTGGCGCACTCCTGTAATCCCAGTTACTCGGGAGGAGGCTGAGACAGGAGAATTGCTTGAACCCGGGAGGTGGAGGTTGCAGTGAGCCGAATCATGCCACTACACTCCAGCCTGGGTGACAAGGCAAACTCGGTTTCGAAAAATAAAATAAAAATTAGTACAACTATTAAGGGCCGGGCCTTGTGCTAGAGTCTCACATTCCCTCTTACTTTAGACTTTACATGAATCTTAATGGAGTATATATTATTTCCATTTGGAGAAACTGAAGCTGTAGCAGGGTGAAGTCACTCACCGAGTGAAAGGTCAAACTAGGGTTTGAACCCAAATCTGGCTGCCTTGAGGGACTGGGCTCGTGTTTTGCTATATTATGGAAATTTTAAAATATATACAAAAGAGCAAATAGTACTGTGATCACCCAGATACCTATTACACCGCGCCAACGAATCAACATTTTGTCAATCTTGTTTCATCTATTCCCCTTTATATTTTTTGCAGGAATATTTAAAAGCAAATCTAAGACATCAGACCATCTCACCTATAAAGACATCAGTATTAGGGGTTCTGCTCTTAACTACTTTGCATCTCCTGCAGAGTCGCCTTGAGAGAGTTACAAAGCTAGGAATGACCTAGAGTACGCTACAGCATGGTAAATGCCAAAAGAGAGATAAATAAAATGGGGATATCAGAAAGGTGACATTTAGTGGAATTTTAAAATATAAGTATGGACTTTTGTGACAAAATGAAAAGGATTATCAATTTCACAGGACTTCTCTCTTATGTACCTCAGTCTTCATTCATTTTCTACCTGGGAAACCTGCTTTTCTTTTTTCTTTTTTGGTTTTTTGTCTTTTCCCCATGTTTTACCCTTTGCGTTAGTTTTCCTTAGGTCCTATTTGTTTTTCTTATAGGAGTTCTTTTTATGAAAGGCACTTGTAGCAGAAACTGCTTCTCATACTATCCATTTTCCATGCATTACTTTAATAAGAGTGCTCCTGAGATCTAGCTGGGTACATGGCCACCCAGCGAAAGGCTGCAATAGCCAGCCTCCCTTACAACAAGGTGTAGCGCCATGACTAAGGTCTGGAATGTATGGGTTGTTCCCTCCATGCCCTCTTCTTTCTTACCTAAATAAAGATCTACATTTCCCAACCTCCACTGCAGCAAGGGTGCTTACCAAGATTAGGTTACTAAGTTTTGGCCAATGGGCCATAAACACAAGTGACACAGACAACTTTTGCGTTAATGCCTTTAAAGGGAAAGGCATGCCTTCCACTTGCCCTTCTCCTCTTTCCAGTTTGCCAGAATGTGGACACAACAGTGGAGGTAAAGTTGTCATCTCAGATGATAAGAAGGAAGTTAGGTGATCCAGGAGGCAAAACAATATACCAGGAGCCTTGAGGTGCCTGATTCTGTGGAGCTGCCATGTCAACCCTGGAACGCTTTGTTCCAATTTTTATGCAAGCAAGTAAAATACTATATCTTGTTAAGTTACTGCATTGTGTTTGTTTTGCCTTTGTTACAGCAGCTACATGTGTATCCTAAATGATAGAGCACTGATATTTATCTTTGCCTTTTCCATTTAAAGTTATAGATTGTGGGCCAGGCACGGTGGCTCACGCCTGTAATCCCAGCACTTTGGGAAGCCGAGGCGGGCGGATCACAAGGTCAGGAGATCGAGACCATCCTGGCTAACATGGTGAAACTCCGTCTCTGCTAAAAATACAAAAAAAAATTAGCCGGGCGTGGTGGCCAGTGCCTGTAGTCCCAGCTACTCAAGAGGCTGAGGCAGGAGAATGGCGTGAACGCGGGAGGCGGAGCTTGCAGTGAGCCAAGATCACGCCACTGCACTCCAGCCTCGGCGACAAAGTGAAACTCCGTCTCAAAAAAGATAAATAAAAAATTTTAAAAATTAAAAAATAAAAATAAAGTTATAGATTCTGGCCGGGCGCAGTGGCTCATGCCGGTAATCCCAACAGTTTGGGAGGCCAAGGCGGGCCTCCCAAACCTAAGCATGTAAGTATGTGGCAAGCATTCCTTCTTAAAGAATTTAACAGTGGAGGACACCCAGGGCAGTGACTGGCAAACTTTCTCTAAAGGGACATATTTTCAGGCTCGGAGCACCACAGACATCTGTTGCATGTTTGTTCTTTAGCAACTCTTTAATCATGTAAAAAAAAAAAAAAAAAAAGAACATTGTAGTTTTACAGGCCTTATAAAAACAGAGGACTAGCCAGATTTGGCCAAGGGTTACTCTGCTCTGGAGTAACACTACGCTAAGTGTAACTCCGGAAACAGTGCCAATCTGCCAACTCTCTGTGATAATTCTGTGATTAAATAAGAACATCTATCTTCTGACTATTTCTTAGGGCTATAATAAGAGAAATGCTACTCTCATTTTCTGTAGTTATTCCAGCAGGGACCAATAACCAACACTTTGAGGTTTGCTACTGGCCTGCAGAAACACTTTGCATCATGCTGCCGTCAAAGATGTGTCGTGTTTTATGGGCATCCACCATCATCTGAAAACCTTTCTCATGATGGGAAATTTCCCATGTCATAAGTTCTTCCAGAGACAGGGCCAGAAACTTGCTTTGTCCTCCTTACTTGGAGTTTGGGTGCAGGCAGCTGACCTAGCTGCACTCCTAGCTGTGTCTGAAAGAAGAGCAGTGTGGTGTAGCAACTGAAAGAAGCAGTTGCTACACAGAATCCATTTCCTAGTGAGGGTAGCAATGGAGGCTTCCAGCTGTTAGGAGCACCAGTGACAGAGGTTCTGGCATCAAGTACCCACTGCAGTGTCCATGCCAAGCCCTGATGACAGTGAGGTCTTTGCTGTGGGCTTGGAGGAGCAATGGGGTATTTTTTCCTGGCTGTGTAACTTACAGATTGATTCTTAGGCCCTTTAAAGATCTTCTGCATTAATGTTCTTTATTTATTTTTGAGACAGGGTCTTGCTCTGTCACCCATGCTGGAGTGCAGTGGCACGATCTCAGCTCACCGTACCCTCAACCTTCTGGACTCAAGTGATCCTCCCACCTCAGCTCCCCAAGTAGCTGGGACTACAGGCATACACCAACACGCCTAATTTTTGTCATTTTTGTAGAGACAGGTTTCGCCATATTGGCCAGGCTGGTCTCGAACTCCTGGACTCAAGCAATCCACTGGCTCAGCCTCCCAAAGTACTGGCATTACAGGCACGAGCCACCACACCCAGCCGAGTGAATATTCTTTAATAAATTCCATTCATATTGGCCGGGCGCGGTGGCTCACGCCTGTAATACCAGCACTTTGGGAGGCCAAGACGGGCAGATCACGAGGTCAGGAGATCGAGACTATCCTGGCTAACATGGTGAAACCCTGTCTCTACTAAAATACAAAAAAAAATTAGCCGGGCGTGGTGGCGGGCGCCTGTAGTCCCAGCTACTCAGGAGGCTGAGGCAGAAGTACAGCGTGAACCCGGGAGGCGGAGCTTGTAGTGAGCCGAGATCACGCCACTGTACTCCAGCCTGGGCAACAGAGCAAGACTCCGTCTCAAAAAAAACAAAAACAAAAACAAAAAAAACAAATTCCATTCATATTTAAACTAGCTAGATTCCTCTTGTTTGCTGATACGTATGCCTACAAATGAATATTAGCTTGCTACCCTAAATTATAAATGGTAAATATATATTATTACAAATTACCAGAGAGCTGTCTTCATTCAATAATAATTTGTTAGGCCAGGCGCAGTGGCTCACACCTGTAATCCCAGCACTTGGGAGGCGGAGGCGGGTAGATCACCTGAGGTCAGGAGTTCCAGACCAGCCTGACCAACATGGAGAAACCCTGTCTCTACTAAAAATACAAAATTAGCAGGGCATGGTGGCGCATGCCTGTAATCCCAGCTACTCGGGAGGGTGGGGCAGGAGAATCACTTGAACTCAGGAGGCAGAGGTTGTGGTGACCCGAGATCGCTTGTTGCACTCCAGCCTGGGCAACAAAAGCAAAACTCCCTCTCAAAAAAAAAAAAAAAAAAAGAATTTATTGAGTTCTTTTGTTGCAGTTAGTGTGATAGAAATACAAAAGTGTGGTCCCTTTTCTCCAAGAGTTTAAAATGTATCCTAAGTCCGAAGTAGCATCCTGAAAACAAATTGTAAGCATCAAGTTGTACACCACTCTACGCAAGCCCGCTTCTAAACAGCCCATGGAACACCTGCCATGCCCATAACTTTCTCTCAGTATAGCAGCCACAGGAGATGCCTTAAGCTTTAAGTAGCCATTCTTTGTGTCAAGTAACCTTCGCATTCTGGCAACAATTTATTGGCCCAAGAATTTGAACCGAACAATCATGGAAGATCTTGGGGAAATTCTTGAATATGGTTGAGTCCCCTGGCATCTCTGTGTAACATTTCTTCTCACAGGAACAAGTCAGTAGTAGTTTATGAACCCTGATCTTAAGCAAAATATGCCAAGATTCCCCTCACTCATATCTGCATTGAGAGAACAAGTAACATTTGTAAATACTGTTATTTAGGAACGTTTATCATTAATCTACACTTATTAGAAAGAGTAAGCAAGCAAAAGGATAAACTTGATTGTTTGTATCCTAAAAGATTAAAAGAGCTAGAAATAATCTATTTCTGGCTCAGATGAAAAGGACAAGTAGGCTGGGCATGGTGGCTCACACCTGTAATCTCAGCACTTTGGAAGTCCAAGGCAGGCAGATCACCTGAGGTCAGGAGTTTGAGAGCAGCCTGGCCAACATGGTGAAAACCCATCTCTACTGAAAATACAAAAATTAGCCAGGTATAGTGACACATGCCTATAATCCCAGCTACTCAGGAGTCTGAGGCACAAGAATCGCCTGAACCTGGGAGCCTGGGAGGCAGAGGTTACAGTGAGCCTAGATCGCGCCACTGCACTCCAGCCTTGGTAACAGAGTGAGACTCGTGTCTCAAAAAAAAAAAAAAAAAAAAGAGGTGCAGTGGCTTATGCCTGTAATCTCAGCACTTTGGGAGGCCACGGCGGGTGGGTCACCTGAGGTCAGGAGTTCACGACCAGCCTGGCCAACATGGTGAAACCCCGTTTCTACTAAAATACAAAAATTAGCCAGGCATGATGGCAGGTGCCTGTAATCCCAGCTACTCAGGAGGCTGAGACGGGAGAATCACTTGAACTCGGGAGACGGTGGTTGCAGTGAGCCGAGATCATGCCACTGCACTCCAGGCTGGGCAGCTGAGCGAGACTCGGTCTCAAAAATAAATAAATAAATAAGTAAATGAAGGAGAAGTAGACAAAATACTAATTATTAATGTTTATTGAATGCTTACTCTATTCCAGAAACTGGCCATTCTAAGTGACCTGAATGTATTCTTAATCCTCACAGTTCTATAAGATGGATACTATTATTATCTCCTCTTACAGATGAGCTGGTTAAACAATTTGCTGAAGGTAAACAGCTAGTAAGTGACAGGGCAGGGATAATGAACCTAGACAGTGGGCGTTCAGAGCACATACACTCCACTATGCTAAACCACCTCTCTTCAGGTGGCTGCAATTGCAGCTTTTAATATTTTTTCTCAAATGGAAAAAAAAAAAAAAAAGACGAGGTTAGAATGGAAAAGTGTCAGGAATTAATGGACCTCATTGGTAGGTACACAGTTATTACATTATTCTAAGTTTCTCTGTATATTTCAATCACAATATTAACACAATTTAAGTAAAAATAAAAATCATGCTATTTAGCAGAAACAAAGTAATCAGTATGTACATATGAGTCAGGGAAGACTTTTACAGAATAGGAGACACTTGTGCTGGATCTTAAAAAGTAGTCAAAAGATAGGCCAGGTGAGGTGGCTCACACCTGTAATCCCAGTACTTTGGGAGGTCGAGGTGGGAGGACCCCGTGTGCCCAAAAGTTCTAGACCAGACTTGGTAACAAAAGGAGACCCCTTGTCTACAAATAAAAAATTTAGCCAAGCATGATGGTACGCACCTGTAGTCCCAGCGACTTGAGAGGCTGAGATGGGAGGATCACTTGAGCCCAGTAGATAGGGGCTGCAGTGAACTATGATCACACCACTGCACTCCTGCCCAGGCAACAGAGCAAGACCTTGTTTCAAAGCAAGCAAACAAACAAACAAAAACAAAGATAGGTAAACGGACATTCTGGGTGAAAAGAGAATGCCACATGCCACATAGCAAGACGTGAAGCTAGCCACGTGCATTCCCAAGTTACAAATGGTACCACGTGAGTGGAGAAAATATTAGAGACAAGTCTTCAGGAATAGGCAAGGGCCAGGTCCTAAAGAAAGTGAAGGCTGTTCTAAAGAGTTTGGAGTTTTTATCTAAGAGGCCAGAGATTACACTGAGGCAAAAGCGGGGCCACATGTGGCACAAAGCTATGTTCAGTGTGTGTGTGGACGTGTGTGTGCAAATTTGAATTAGTCAACTACATATATATCCAAAATATGGCAGCTTTCACATAAAATTTTAAGTGTTCTACTTCTCATGAGAAATCAAAAGATTTAACAATACAGGGATGCAGTATAATAACTATTTAGATAGCATTTACACTGTATAAGGGCAGCTCACTTTGCCACATCCTGTGCTTTACTCTGATGTAGACACTTGTGTTTTTTGCAGTTTTTTGTTTTTTGGTTTTTTTGAGACGGAGTCTCTCTCTGTTGTCCAGGCTGGAGTGCAGTGGCACGATCTCGGCTCACTGCAACCTCCACCTCCCAGGTTCAAGTGATTCTCCTGCCTCAGCCTCTTGAGTAGCTGGGATCATAGGCACATGAACCAAGCCCAGCTAATTTTTGTATTTTTAGTACAGATGGGGTTTCACCATGTTGACCAGGCTGGTCTCGAACTCCTGACCTCAGGTGATCCGCCCTCCTTGGCCTCCCAAAGTGCTGGGATTACAGGCGTGAGCCACCACACCGTCTGACACTTGTATTTTTTATCCCTGTTCATTCTTTTTGTTTTTTGGGGGGACGAAGTTTCACTCTTATCACCCAGGCTGGAGTGCAGTGGCGTGATCCCAGCTCACTGCAACCTCCACCTCCCGGGTTCAAGTGACTCTCCTGCCTCAGCCTCCCAAGTAGCTGGGATTACAGTGCATGCCACCATGCCTGGCTAATTTTTGTATTTTTAGTCGAGATGGGGTTTTGCCATTTTGGCCAGGCTGGTCTTGAACTTCTGACTTCAGGCGATTCATCTGCCTCGGCCTCCCAAAGTGCTGGGATTACAGGTATGAGCCACCGCACCTGGCCCTAATTCTGTCATTTCTTCTATATTCATTAGCTAACATCTTGTAAGGAAGAAACTTTTCTTTTTTACTCTCCCATCTGTTCTCTCTGTCACATGCGCGCACACATACACACGCCACCGTAGCCTCGGCTTTTTATTTGCTCAATGAGTAACAATCATTCTTTCCATTATTCAGAATTTCCCAAACCTCAAGTAATATAGAAAGGACAAACAGAATTCTCAGACTCTAGTTGAATTTTCAGAAACGCTTGAACTTCCTTGACCCAAACTATTGCCTTTTCTCTTAATGACAGTGAAGTCAACTCCATAGGTAGCCCATTAACTCTCAAAATCCTGGCCTCAGTGTTCCTCCTCTCTTGGGCTTCCAAAGTGTTGGGATTACAAGCGTGAGCCACACTCACGCTTGTAATGGCCTAGCCCATTGACTCTCAGCCTATTAACTGATACTCAGTTATCTTATCTGCCTGGGAATGTTGTTCCCATTATAGACTCTGTCTTATTATAAGCTGATATAGCCAATATTGCATATGACTGGGGTGATACACTTGGTTTTGTAAAAACTGAGGTAAAATAGGCATAACAAAATTTAGCATTTTAACCATCTTTCAATGTATGATCCAGTGGCATTAAGTACATTCACACTGTTGTGCCATTATCACCACTATCCATCCCAAACATTTTTCATCTTGCAAAACTGAAACTCTATCCATTAAACACTAACCCCTCATTTTCCTCCTTCCCCCAGCCTCTTACAACCACCATCTACTTTCTCTCACTATGAATTTGGCTACTCTAGGTACTTCACATAAGTGGAATTGATACACTCATATCAGCAAGTATTTGTTTTATCAAGAAATATGAATACCTTTTCAAAAACATCCTTCAAAACAATCCCAGGCCAGGAACAGTAGCTCACACCTATAATCCCCACACTTTGGGAGACTGAAGCAAGAGAACCACTTGAGGCCGGAAGTTTGAGACCAACCTGAGCAACGTAGCAAGACATGATGTGTACAAAAAATTTTTAAAAAACAAAAAATTAGTAGGGCATGGTGACACGCACCTGTAGTCCCAGCGACTGGGGAGGCTGAGATGGGAGGATCAATTGAGGCTGGAAGTTTGAGTACTGTGATCCTGCTACAGTGCTATGATCCTGCTACTGCACTCTGCACTCCAGCATGGGCGACAGAGCAAAACCCCATCTAAAAAAAGAAACCAAAAACCACAGTTTAAAATGTAGGGGCTTCCTCTGCTGAAGGACACATCAGAAGAAGACTGCCCTTTACCTCAATGGAAAGGACCTTGTAGGCACTGATTCACAAACACCACAGCAATTGAACTCTAGGGTACTGATCCTTGCATCTTCCTTTCTTCTTTTTAAGACAGGGTCTTTGTCACTCAGGTTGGAGTGCAGCGATGCAATCATAGCTCACTGTAACCTCAAATGCCCTGGTTCAAATGATCCACCTCAGCCTCCAAGTAGCTGGGACTACAGGCATGTGCCACCACACCCAGCTAATTTTTTTTTTTTTTTTTTTAGAGATGGGGTCTTGCCATGTTGCCCAGGCTGGTCTCAGACACCTGCCCTCAAGTCCTCAAGACATCCTCCTACCTCAGCATCCCAAAGTGCTGGGATTACAGTCATGAGCCACTGCACCCAGCTATATCCCTGTTTCTTGAGGAAGGATAAATTAGCCATTCTTGAATCAGGAAGACATTGCTACCAGAGACCTCAACTGGAGGATACTGAGGAACCCTCCAGAAGCAGAAAACTGCAGGAAGGGGACAACATCCACTGAAGACCATAGGAACAAGATAATGACTGCATGAAGACAGCCCAAGACCTGAGGACCATAGAAGATAAGGAGCTGGAGCTACGTGTTTGTCACACTTCAATCTGCATGCAGCCTTGTCATAATTTTTCTAGATATTTTCTTTCATCTTTTTTGGTTTATGGTTTGCTTTGTTGACAGACAGCATGTTACCTCAACTAGAGTAACTATAAGCAATGATTTCTTAGAGCCAGATAGAACCGGCTTATGAGAATCAATTGTTAAATTGTCAGGAATCTTACCAGATGGTTGTGAAACCACTGATGGCTTGAAATCAGTCTACAGGAACATGCACACAATGGAAATCAGAAAACAGTTTTATTTGTTCTTACAATGTGTGTCTGGAAAATGTTACTGCCAGTGTTCTATGTTCCAAAGTGATTTGAAGTAATCATTTCCCCTGTGTGATTAGGTTTTATATTCAGGTCTGTTCGTTTGTTTATTTTTGTGTTCAATTGTTTCTGTTTGTGTTTAATTTGATTTTTTCCCATTTGACTTAATTTTGGTTTTTGAATATGTGAGTCATTTACGTGATTGAAAAATAAAAACTGTATAAAGAAAGATACTCAGAGAGTTCTTGCTCTCACCCCTGTTCCCTATTCCCATCTCACCCATCGTTCAGAAGTAGCCATTTCCATTTTCAACAATTTCTTGTTTATTATTTCTTTGAAAAAAATAAATACATATGCATAAATATGTGTGTGCGTTTAGATGTGCCCTAGTTTATTCAATCAGTCTCCTATTCATGGGTAGTTGTACTGGTTTTCAAGCCATTCCTATTGCAAATAGCATATCTGTATAGCATATCTTATTTTGCATTTGCGTATCATATCTGTACATCATAGTTTGCATTTGTGGAGGTGTATCAGCTAGATTTCTAGAAGTGTCACTGATTCAAAGGGTAAATGAACATGTAATTTTGTTAAACATTGCCAGATTTCCTTCCAGGGGAGTTGTGCCGTTTTGCAATCCCACCAGCAATGTGTGGAAATACCTGTTTCTCCCTGGGCTTACCAACAGCATATGTTGTAAGCTTTTGGACTTCTGCCTAAGAACTGTGAGGGATCTGAGATTTTTGCCCTCCTTGGAAGGTGAATGCCTTGCCCTGGTGGGCTTGTGTCAGAGCTGAAGAACACTGAGATTAGGAAACCCCCAGTCTTATAAGGAGCTGCTAAAACACCTATCTAACCTTTGACCTGGAGGAAAATGTTGGTTTGTTTGTTTGTTTGTTTGTTTGTTTTTGAGATGGAGACTCGCTCTGTCGCCCTGGCTGGAGTGCAGTGGCCGGATCTTAGCTCACTGCAAGCTCCGCCTCCCGGGTTTACGCTGCCTCAGCCTCCCGAGTAGCTGGGACTACAGGCGCCCACCTAGTTTTTTGTATTTTTTTAGTAGAGACGGGGTTTCACCGTGTTAGCCAGGATGGTCTGGATCTCCTGACCTCGTGATCCACCCGTCTCGGCCTCCCAAAGTGCTGGGATTACAGGCGTGAGCCACCGCGCCCGGCCAAAAAATGTTGTTTTTATTGTCTTGGTCAGGAGAGGAATCTACCCTCTGTCCCTTCAGAATGTTTGTAGCGCAAAAGACATTGAGAACAGAAGCTGTCACAAGACATATAGAAACACCATGAAGGATTGTCTCCCAACACTGCCAATCTGATAAGGGAAGAATAGTATTTGAATATACGATGTCCGGTACCTCCTGTGAATACCAAAATCCATGAATGCTCAAGTCCCTTATGTAGAACATGGTAATATTTGCATATAACCTATGCACATACTCCAGTATACTTTAAATAATCTCTAATTACTTATAATACCTAATATAATATAAATGCTATGCAAATAGTTGATATACTCTATTATTTAGGGAATACTGGTAAGAAAAATGTCTGTACATATTCAGTACAAACACAATTTTTTTTTTTTCAAACACAGTCATGCACCCATAAGGAAGTTTTAGTCAACAGCTGACTACATATACAATGGTGGCTATACCATATAGCCTATGTGTGTAGTAAGCTATACCATCTAGGTTTGTGTAAGTACACTCTATGATGTTTGCACAATGGTGAAATCGCCTAACAACACTTTTTTTTGTTTTTTAGACAAAGTCTTGCTCTTGTCCCCCAGGCTGGAGTGCAATGGTGTGATCTCGGCTCACTGCAACCTCTGCCTCCTAGGTTCAAGCGATTCTCTTGCCTCAGCCTCCCCGAGTAGCTGTGATTACAGGAGTTTGCAACCATGCCTAGCTAATTTTTTTGTATTCTTAGTAGAGATGGTGTTTCACCATGTTGGCCAGGCTGGTCTCGAACTCCTGACCTCAGGTGATCCGCTCTCCTCGGCCTCCCAAAGTGCTGGGATTACAGGCGTGAGCCACCGCACCCAGTCGCCTAACAACACATTTTTGAGAATGTATCCCCATCGTTAAGCAACACATGACTGTCATTTCTATATATGGTTGATTGAATTTACAAATGTGGAATCCATGGATGCCAAGGGCTGACCATATTTTAATTTGCATTTCTTTTATAAGAAGTGATGCTGAGTATTTTTCCAAGTGCTTCACAGACATTTGCCTTTAATCTTCTGTGAACTGTCTCTTAACACTTTTGGCCATTTTCCTACTAGGTTTTTTACTTCAAAAACCTTTTTTTTTTTTTTTTGAGACAGAGTCTGTCTCTGTCGCCCAGGCTGGAGTGCAGTGGTGTGATCTCCATTCACTGCAACCTCTGCCTCTAAGGTTCAAGCGATTCTCCTGCCTCAGCCTCCCAAGTAGCTGGGACTGCAGGCACCCACCACCACACCCAGATAATTTTTGTATTTTTAGTAGAGACAGGGTTTCACTATTTTGGCCAGGCTGGTCTCAAACTCCTGACCTCAAGTGATCTACCTGCCACAGCCTCCCAAAGTGCAGGGATTACAGGTGTGAACCACCACACCCGACCTCTTGAACAGTAAAATATTTTATACTTAAACAGCTTTATTGAGATATATTATATATATGTATATGTATACATACATATATCTAGATATAGATTTTTTTTTCTTAGACGGAGTGTCAGTCTGTCGCCCAGGCTGGAATGCAGCGGCATGACCTCTGCTCACTGCAACCTCTGCCTCCCACGTTCAAGCAGATCTCCTGCCTCAGCCTCCTGAGTAGCTGGGACTACAGGCATGCGCCACCATGGCTGGCTAATTTTTCTATTTTTAAAAAACAAAAATAGTTTTTGTTTTACCATGTTGATCAGGCTGGTCTTGAACTCCTGATCTCATGACCTGCCCGCCTCAGCTTCCCAAAGTGCTGGGATCACAGGCCTGAGTCACTGCGCCTGGCTTATTGAGATATACATACCATTAAGTTCATCCATTTAAAGTATACAATTCAATGGTTTTTAGTATATTTATGGAGCTATGCAACCATTGCTATAGTATAATTTTGGAATATTTTTAACATTCCAAAAAGAAACCCCTTACCTCTCAGTAGTCATCTCCATTCCTGGCCCTTGCCCCTACCCTACCCAGCCCTATGTGACCACTAGTCTACTCTATCTCTATAGATTTGTCTATTCTGGACATTTCATACAAATGGTATCATACAATATGTAGTCTTTTGTGACTGACTCTTTCACTTAGCATAATATTTTGGAGGTTCTTCCATGTATCATGCATCAATACTCTTCTTTTTTTACTTATTTATGTATGATGGAAATTAGCTATTTTGTATAATTTAAACTACAAACATTTTCTCCCAGTTTTTCATCTCTTTTGATTTTGCTTATGATATTTTTGCCAAGCAAAAGTCTATCCATATATCAGCCGGGTGTGGTGGCTCATGCCTGTAATCCCAGCACTTTGGGAGGCCAAGGCGGGCAGATCACCTGAGGTCAGGAGTTCAAGACCAGCCTGGCGAACATGGTGAAACCCTGTCTCTACTAAAAGTACAAAAATTAGCCGGCACGGTGGTGGGTGCCTGTAATCCCAGCTATTCAAGAGGTTGAGGCAGAAGAATCGCTTGAACCTGGAAGGAAGAGGTCGCAATGAGCCGAGATTGCACCACTGCACTCCAGCCTCCATCTCAAAAAAAAAAGCCTAGGTGCGTGTGTATGTGTGTGTGTGTGTGTATATATATATATATATATATTTGTTTGTGCATATATAGATACAGCTGTAGATATAAATGGATAGGTTTGAATTTATCAATCTTTCTCCATGACTTCTGGAATTTCAGTTATAATTAGGATGCCTTTCTTTTGTCCAGATTACAAAGAAACTCATATATGTTTTCTTCTTGAACCTATGTTTTCATTTTTTTGTGCATTGAAATAAGGAATCAGTTTGAAGTACATTCTGATGTAAATCTTTTTTTTTTTTTTAGACGGAATTTCACTCTTGTCGCCCTGGCTGGAGTACAATGGCGCGAGCTAGGCTCACTGCAGCCTCCGCCTCCTGGGTTCAAGTGATTCTCCTGCCTCGGCCTCCCAAATAGCTGGGATTACAGGCATGAGCCCCCGCGCCTGGTCCTAATGTAAATTAGGGACATAAACACTCCAGTTGTGCTAATGTCATTATTTAAAAGTGAATCTTGCCAGGCGCAGTGGCTCACACCTGTAATCCCAGCACTTTGGGAGGCCAAGGCAGGCAGATCACGAGGTCAGGAGATTGAGACCATCCTGGCTAATACGGGGAAACCCCGTCTCTACTAAAAATACAAAAAAATTAGCTGGGCGTGGTGGCAGGCGCCTGTAGTCCCAGCCACTCGGGAGGCTGAGGCCGGAGAATGGTGTGAACCCGGGAGGTGGGCTTGCAGTGAGCCGAGATCATGCCACTGCACTCCAGTCCGGGCGACAGAGCGAGACTCCATCTCAAAAAAAAAACAAGTGAATATTTTCTGGCCTGGCATCGTGGCTCATGCCTGTAATCTCAGCACTTTGGGAAGCCAAGGTGGGCAAATCACTTGAGGTCAGGGGTTCAAGACCAGCCTGGCCAATATGGTGAAACCTGTCTCTACTAAAAATACAAAAAAATTTGCCAGATGTGGTGATGCACACCTGTATTCCCAGCTGCTTGGGAGGCTGAGGTGAGAGAACTGCTTGAACCTGGGAGGCAGGGGTTGCAGTGAGCTGAGATAGTGCTATTGCACTCCAGCCTGGGCAACAGAGCAAGACTCTGTCTCAAAAAATTAAAAAATAAAAAAGTTAATCTTTTCTCCAATAATTTAAGATCCCACCTTTGTCATATGCTAAATTTCCCTATGTACTTCACAATTATTCCCACTGGTTTGAATGTCTAGCCAGGAACAAATACCACACAGTTTTAATTATTAGATCTTTAAAATAAGTTTTAAAATGTTGGGCCGGGCGCGGTGGCTCAAGCCTGTAATCCCAGCACTTTGGGAGGCTGAGATGGGTGGATCACAGGGTCAGGAGATCAAGACCATCCTGGCTAACACAGTGAAACCCTGTCTCTACTAAAAAATACAAAAAACTAGCCAGGCGAGGTGGCGGGCGCCTGTAGTCCCAGCTACTCAGGAGGCTGAGGCAGGAGAATGGCGTAAACTCGGGAGGGGGAGCTTGCAGTGAGCTGAGATCCGGCCACTGCACTCCAGCCTGGGTGACAGAGCGAGACTCTGTCTCAAAAAAAAAAAAAAAAAAAAAAAAAAAGCTTTAATATGTGGTAAGGCCAGTCTCCTTTTATT